CGGGGACTGCGAGCCTGTCCGTGCAAGCCGGGGATAGCGGAAAGGGGCTGAACAAAGGACGGCAGATAGTGGAGGCGGCTGCGGGGGGGGGGGGTGGCATAGATGGACCAAACTTTCCACAGCATCCCTGGTGGGGGGCTGCGGCCCCAGGCCGGGGGAGCTGGGGCCGAGGTGCAAGCCGGGTCGGTAACGGGGGGGGGTCGCACCAGACCAGGAACGCGGGGGCGCTGGGCAGAAGCCAGAGCCCTTCGGAAGAGGAATCGCCCCTCCCCGCCGAGCCCGGCTCGCACTGACCTGGCCTTGCAGGGTCCATCGCTGGCGACCATATTAACTCTACGTGGGGAGGGGGACGAGGAAGACTCGGGGAGGGGGCCGTGGAGGCGGAGCCATCACCAAACATCGCGAGACTAACAATGAGTTCCGCCCGTCTGATTAGTTGACACAGCTCGCGCGAGACCTTGGGTCATAGCAATAAAGGAAAAACAGCGGGGATCTCGTGAGAATTAGCTATGGGGGAAGGATACCGTGCGCGGCCGCTCTCGCGACAGTTCCAGGCTCAATAAAGGAGGGGGTTGCTGGGGGGAAGTGTTTTTACTAGCGGCTTAGGTGCCAGGGCAGGTCAGCCTCAGTCTGGGCGTGAGCGCAGCTTCCGGCGACTCTCTTGTTCCATGCCCTAGGGCCCCGGCGAGACCGTGGTTGTGCTGGGCTACGCGGGAGCAGACTGTGGGTGACTGGGACTGTCCCACGGGGGCTGCAACCAGGTGCTGGTTGCGAGGCTCGGCGCTTCTGAACGCTCGGCTTCCTAGGGCCAGGGCTACTTGCCACCTCTGAGCTGTGCCCCAGGCAGGGAGAGTTGGGGGCACAAGGGGTGGCTGGCCCTGAGGGCAGCACCCAGGTCCCATCCAGCTGGGCCATTCACAGGGGGCAGGTGGGTGCTCGGGTTCATTTCACGCTTCCCTGGAGCTGCCGTGAGCTTGCGTAAACTTTTTAGCGATCCTTCCATTCTGGGTCCGGTTCTGTTCAATATCTTCATCAATGATTTAGATAATGGCAGAGAGAGTAGACTTATAAAAGCCGTAACAGATGCCAAGCTGGGAGGGGTTGCAAGTGCTTTGGAAGACAGGATTAAAATTCAAAATGATCTAGACAAACTGGAGAAATGGTCTGAAGAAAGTAGGCTGACATTCAATAAGGAAAAGGCAAAGTACTCTATTTAGGAAGGAACAATCAGTTGCACACATACAAAATGGGCAATGACTGCCTAGGAAGGAGAACTGGAAAGGGATCTGTGGGTCATAGTGGATCACAAGCTAAATATGAGTCAACACTGTAATGCTGTTGCTTTAAAAAAAATAATTCTGGGCTGTATTAGCAGGAGTGTTGTAAGCAAGACACAATAAGTAATTCTGCTCTACTCTGCATTGATTAGGCCTCAACTGGAATATTGTGCCCAGTTCTGGGTGCCACATTTCAGGAAAGATGTGGACAAATTGGAGAAAATCTGGAGTAGAGCAACAAAATGATTAAAGGTCTAGGAAACATGACTTATGAAGGAAGATTGAACAAATTGTGTTTGTTTAGTCTGGAGAAAAGACTGAGAGGGGACATAACATTTTTCAAGTACATAAAAGGTTCTTACAAGGAAGAGGGAGAAAAATTGTTCTCCCTAACCTCTGAGGCTAGGACAAAAAGCAATTGGACAATTGCAGCAAGGGCAGTTTAGGTTGAACATTAAGAAAAATTTCCTAATTGTCAGGGTGGTTAAACACTGGAATAAATTGCCTAGGGAGGTTGTGGAATCCCCATCATTGGAGATTTTTAAGAGCAGGTTAGCAGGGGACTGGACTAGATAACCTTTCGAGGTCCCTTCCAGTCTTATGATTCTATGATTCCCTTGTCCCTTTGACTGGATGTTTTATTGTTCCTCCAGCACTGAGCAATGTTAGCAAACCAAAGAGCTCTGTGCCCTGCTGTCATCTTTTGAAGAGTGATGCACAAACTATTGCAATGTGGTCCAAGCACCTGAGATCCCAGATCCGGAGCTGATGCTAAATACAAGTGAAATTGACTAGACCATTCTCATTGGCCAAGCTGAATTGACTGCAAAAAGTAAACAGAATAGATAATAATTAGTAAATTAGGCTTCATTAATTCTGTAATTTAATAACAAAGTGGATTAGTAATGCAGCAGAGGAGAGGGGTTTTTTTTAATAAAGGGACACCGTCAGCTTGAAATCAAGTCAATAAACAAATTTAAAGTAGTTGGAGGTGTTACTTGTAAGGTCAGTAAGAATTGAAATTCAGACTGAAGAGTGACATTTTTTAAAAAGTTGTCCTCCCCACAGCTGTGCAATGTCCAAAATCAAATATTTGACCTTCCAGGTAGAAAAGATTGGGAAAGATCCGTTTTTCCTGCAATAGCAGATATAAATTACACCTCCATGCAACTGCCTGTCCTCTGTGCCCCAGGCAAAATTCAGCCAAAGGAGAGCAGGTCACTTGCACTGGTTGGGGTTTCCATCTGTATATGTAAGTTTCTTTACTTTTCACTGAGGGTCCTACCGAAGTTCTAGCAGCATGTGCTGCAGTTAAGATACACCCTTAGCTACTCTAGTTATGCCCCTCAATAACCAATGTTGCCCATTTTTTGGACATCCTCCCTGACCAACACTGCCCCCAGGCCATTTTGGGTCCTCGGGAGTATGCAAGAGTGTGAGTTCTTTGCACCATTGCAATCTTCCCCCAGTGAACTTTTTGTCAAGGAAGTCCCTGGACCTGCAGTTATGGAAGGTGGCCCACAGGAGACTATGTACCAGCTACTCCATTATTAGGTTGTCTGAACAAGATGATTCCTTGTGTTCCTTGTTTGCTGGGTTGTAGGGCACCCTGATGAAATGAACAGACACTTGCTTAAAGGACTTCACCATCTCCACACTACTCAGATTCATGTCTTTGGACATTTTATATCTTTCGGACCTCAGATGATTTGCTGTGGGTTTGGAATCCTATTACTGGCTTATCAGAAGAAACAAATGACCATTGCCTTTTAATCTTCTTGGTCAAAGTAATTTTGGAGCTGTAGCCCCTGAAGAACAGCAAATATGCTGTAACAAAGACAAAATATGTTGCAACTAGGAACTTGCTCCCCACCCCTTATTTTGACTATTGGGATTTATTTTTCTTTTTCTCTCCCTTTTTTGAACATATTACAACCAAAATACATGTTGTGTATCTTTATTTCAGATGTTAATATATGGATACAAGATAGGAATCAGACCCCTCTATGCACAATTTTTTTCCACCTTTTCTTTTCAATACAAAAACTTACTTTAAAAAATAGATCTACCCTTGGCTGATATGTCTGTATGCATTAAACTCCTCCTCCCTCACCTTCTGAAATGTCTGTCACAGCTTGTGGAGTGCAGAATTATGTTCAAGAGAAGGGGTCTGAACAAACGCCGCTTTGTCACGTATAAATTGAGCAGCTACAACTCCAAAGGCTTTTATAGCCTCTTATAACATATATAGCCCCTTATTTATACTAGTGAATAGTAATTTACATGAATAATTTCAGTGGAGTTCAAAGTCTGGCCTAAATAGCTGTTGGGAACAATTAAACTAATAGAATGAGTAATGAGTATAAATACTCCTACCTACATCTTATATAGTGCTTTTCGTCAGTGAATTTCAAAGGACAAATCATTACCCCAATTTTTCAGATGGGGAAACTGAGGCACAGAAAGGCATAGTGACTTGCCAAGGACACCCATAAGGCAGTGGCAGAAATAGAACCCAGTCTCCTGCATCCAACTCTAGTGCTCTGTCCATTGGGCAACACGGCCTCTCATCCATACTGCTACTTGAAGTCTGCAGTGTTACCCTGGAAAATCTCTTACTCCTGGACCTAAAGTGTGAAAACACAAGTTGTCTCTACTGGTTACAAGTTTCTGGTAGAAACTCATAAGAATCAGTTTACTCAAAGCCATGCAGCTAGTTTGTGCTTTCTAACACAATTCATCTTGGCACTTTTTACTGTCTCTCAATTCCTGCACCTAACACAGATTTTTGATAGTGCAGGCTGTTCCAGTTTCCGTCACCTGTGCTAAGGTAAGACAAAGGCTGATGGTGCTCATCCACTAAGCATACAGCCAAATAAGGAGAGGTTTAGCTAGAATAGAATGTAGCTGGGGGGGCTGACTACTGGTGGGAGACAAGTGAGATCATACTTTTACAACACTGCACTCTCAATTTTTTCCAAAATCTCCCATCACTGTGCTAGCAGCTCCACTGGTGGGAGCGCTAGTGTAGACATGGGTCTAGAATTCTCCAGCATCATTAAACCTTGGATCATTACCACAGCGTTAAAATGCTGGTGGCCAGTCTACACTAGTTCTCCCACCATTGCTTCTAGGACCAGTGGAGTTGCACCAGTTAGTGCAACAGTGGTAGGCTTTATGGAAAAATCCAGTGCAAATACAGCCTTAGGGCCTTATTGGGTATGCCTACACAGCCTGAGGTAGTGAGCCTTCCAGCCCAGGTTGATAGACTTGGGCTAGCAGGACTCATGCTAGTGCTTGAAAAATAATTGTGTAGACAGCACTTTGAAATTGTGGCTCAGGCTGGAGCTCTGGCTCTGAAGCCAAGTCAAGGCTCACTAAATTTCAGAGCCTGAGCTGCAATGGGTCTACACTAGGGCTGTCAAACAATAATAAAAATTGATTGCGTGAATAATCGCATTGTTAAACAATAATAGAATACAATTTATTTAAATATTTTTGGATGTTTTCTACATTTTGAAATATATTGATTTCAATTACAACACAATACAAAGTATACAGTGTTCACTTTATATTTATTTTTGATTACAAGTATTTGCACTGTAAAAAAACAAAGAAATAGTATTTTTCAATTCACCTAATACAAGTAATGTAGTGCAATCTCTTTATCATGAAAGTTGAACTTACAGATGTAGAATTATGTACAAAACACTGCATTAAAAATAAAATATAAAATTTTAGAGCCTACAAGTCCACTCAGTCCTACTTCTTGTTCAGCGAATTACTCAGACAAACACGTTTATTTACGTTTGCGGAGATAATGCTGCCCGCTTCTTGTTTACAATGTCACCCGAAAGTGAGAACAGGCTTTCTCAGGGCACTGTTGTAGCCAGTGTCGCAAGATATTTATGTGCCAGATGTGCTAAAGATTCATGTCCCTTCATGCTTCAACCACCATTCCAGAGGACACGCCTCCATGCTGATGATAGGTTCTGTTCGATAACAATCCAAAGCAGTGCAGACCAATGCATGTTCATTTTCATTATCTTGGGTCAGCATCTTTTTTGGTGGTTTGGGTTCTGTAGTTTCGGCATCGGAGTGTGGCTCTTTTAAGACTTCTTAAAGCATGCTCCACATCTCGTCCCTCTCAGATTTTGGATGGCACC